CTCCCTTTCGCTGTCATAGCGGGCGTTGTGCACGCGACAGTCGCCGGTCTGCACACCGGTTGCCGGACGTGTACACGTGTACTACATAGACGAGCGGGAAAGGAAAGGGAATACCGCGATTCTAGAGCCGTGGCTACGTAGCGTTGTTCTCCGCCGATGGGCGTGGACAAACGAGCGGAAAAATGGCGGGGTTTGGAAATGAGATTTGCTGGTAAACCGACAATTTATCGTAGGTATCTGCAAAAGCATCTCTTGACGTTCCTCTGACCAGAGTTATAATTAATACGCTCTCGTCACAGAGCGACCGACCAATATTCCGTCGCGCCCACACACGTTCGCTCGTACACACACACACACACAGTCTTACAGACACAGGCCACAAACGCGAGAGAGAGAGAGAGAGAGAGAGAGATTGGGAGTGAGAAAGATGCAAGTGGACAGCCGTTATACGCCGTGGGGAAGAGCACACACGCGCTCGTGCTCGCGCGGACCGGCGCGTAACTGGTTGTTGATTAAGTTTGAATGACTGATGCCGCAAAAACACATTAAAACTTGAATGAGTACAGATGAAAATTTAGTCGCTAGGAATCAAGAGACCGCAGAGGCAAATGGCCTGGCAGCCGCACATACGCGCGGACGAAACCGCTCCTGCTGACCCCTACCCCACCTCGCGCTTCTTCACCGGTTCGGGAACCGTCTCTCTTTGTCGTTCACGTGATCAACGGACCCGTTGCGGACCGGCCGAAATATAACAACGCGAAAAACACTCCGCGATTGCTATATCCGCCGGCCCGAGACACTCGCCCACTCGGTTGACCACTGTGTAACGGAAACAACTTGCACCGATGATTTTCACCGGTGATTCCTCGATCGGCCGGAGATCGATCGCAACCCGGCAAGCTCGGTTAAGGATTTTCTCGAAAAAGTGTATTTCCGGGCGAAATCTCGCGGTTTTCCTTCCATCTTCGATTCGCCGAACGGAAAATACTCCATTCGATGGATTTCTCTTTTTTGGTGACACTTTTTTTTCGAACGTGAGGAATTTTTGGGAGCGTTGGGGAGATTTCTTTGAGAGTAGAGTGTGTTTTGGTGAATAGTGCGGCATTTCAATAGTGAAATTATTCGGCAACCCGCATTTTTCAGCGACCCGTTCCACTCGCGTGCAGTAAATATTTGTCGAATACGAATCTATCAATTTTCGTAAAGATCGTATGGTTTCGGTACAGGCAATGCAACAAAAACAATAGCATCTGCTGTATATTGGGTTTTCAATTTTAGCCCAGTGCGGAAAAAGATTGCTCCTCGTTGCTTTGTATCCATTATCCAAAGGCAGCGGTATAAATATCATTTTTTAGAACAGACTTCTAAGTAGAAATGTGAAGTAACTCGATTCCATTCCCAACTGCAATTTTTCCCATTGACAACTTGCAAATTACACTAGCAGTCGAACAACTCGCAGAAATTTAAAGCTTCTCCCCAACTGTTCCTCCGTCGACGAACCTAGCAATTATTCACTCGGATAGAAAGAAAAATCCCCACCGTTCGTGTCCTAATTGGAAGAATTCACGTGAGGACGTAACTACGCGAACCTCTGCCCACGATCCCACGTTCTTCATCCAAAGGCACCACACTTTTTCCCACTCCCGATCCATGGAACACCAGCGAAGAAGCATCCAAATCAGGCAGAAACCCCGGCAAATCGAATCGAATAGCGAGGCTCGAATCCCTCGATCGATCGTCTGCCGTTTGAAGCTTCTTCGATTGTCATAAAACAATTGGCCGGAAAGATTATCGCGGACGGTTTGCGTCGTAAATACTTCAAGATCGATCGGAAATCGCAAATCCAGTTTAGCGAGCGATCGAGGATGGAATGGGAATGTGCATCCATCAGCCTGTGCGCGCAATAGCAAAAGGATAGAAGTGGTAGGGATGGGGGAGTTGTGAGCAAGTGGAGCACAGAAAAGGCATCGACGCACGTAGGCCAGTTGGGATGATCGTTTCCGTAATAAAAATCGTCAACCAGATCGTAGCTCACGCACCGATACCCTTGCGCCGTTCCGAACGCTCGACCAATCAGCTCCTCCCGTGCGCCGTTTAATGTATTCAAATGTAAGCGGTAGCAGTGTTTATGTCTTGACATTGCAAATTGTGCCGGCTAGGCTATAACTTATAGTAATTGCTGCGCGCCGGAGTAATTATTTATACACGTGATATAGCGTATAGACGCCTCTCTCTTTCTCCGTTCCTCCTTCTCTCCCCCGGTCTCTCCCTGCCCTCGTTCAACCGTTCCGTGGAGCACGGTTGTCCCGATCATAGGGGTATCTGTGTCTACGTCCGATGGTGTAACTGTGATGCGGGAATAACGAAAAACCGGGGGCGATCTCGCGGATCCGCGATATTAATCTCGAGCCGGTGCGCCGACGAATTGGCGACTTCGATGCCTCGCGCCACAGACAAGACGGAATCCAGCGCGCAAGGAAAAACTACCGGCCGTGTCGCGTCTGACTAGTGTCGTCCTTTTTCTACTTGGACGCTAGAGTGAGATTAGGAGAGGTCGGCGAGTGTAGAGACGAGTAGTTGATGTTTCGTGGGATTAATGGAACGTTGACGATGTTGATTCGGGAATTGGTAATGGGAATGATGTTGATTTGGGAACTGGTAATGGGAATGATGGAATGAAGGAATGTTGGTGATCAGGAAGCACGGATTATTGGGAAAATTAGTGATTTTGGAATGGTGCATTTTCAATTGCTAACAAATTTCAGTATTCTCTTAAATAAATTGTCGTCCTTTTGCGTGTACGGGGAGCTGTCGGTGAAGTTTTATGGAATTAAATGGAATATCGTGACTGTAGTGTCGATAATTTTGATTTGACACTTCGTAATGGGAATGACGATTTATTTCAAGGAATATTTGCAGTTTTTTATAGTTTTTTAAAGTAAATCACTTTACTGAAGACACGAGTGTCTCCAAAATAGCGCATCTCCAATGAATAATCAACTTTCCTGTTCTCTTAAATAAATCGTCGTCTATTCGTGTGCGTGTATGAGGAGCTGTCGGTGAGATTTTACGAGATGAAATAGAATGTTCCGAAGGATTGTGTCTGCAGTATTAGACATGACATTTCGTAATGGAAAGGATGATTTATTTAAAGGGATATTTGTTGCGCGCAGGAAGTATAATTTCTCAGAGTTAATCTGTAATTTTTCTACGGAGGAAAATAGTAGCCCTAAAATAGTGGATCTCCGATGAATAATAAATTTTCATATTCTCCTAAATAAATCGTCGTTCCCTTTACGAAGCAGTCGAAATCACAATTACTCCAGTCGCGATGATTACGATATATTGTTTTATAGTTACAGTTGTCAGATTTATCAGAGTATTTCAGCAAATAGCACCGTGTACTCCATTTTAAAGCACATTACTGCTAAAATTTATCGCCTAAAAAAATTACCAATAAATATTAACTTCTCAATTAATATGAAATTTACTACTAAAAAAATATCAATATGTTTTCTGTCACTGAACAACTGAAAGCACCCACCCTATAGCGAAACAGTGTTCTGGAGAACCTGAACACGGTCGAAGGCCTTTTGTTCCTGAAGCTACCGTGGTGCCATCTTACTCGACTGAAAGGAACTTCCATTGGTGGAAAAAAATGCTGCAACATTTTTTTCCCAAAAATACAACCGACCGTTTCCACCATGATCGATCACGTGACCGTTGTTCTTCGAGAAATTCCAACCGGTTAGTGCGACAAAGTTCCGCGAATGATGTCCATACGTAACAAGGATCAGCCACGTGTATCGACAGGCTTAGGGGAAATTGCGGTGCTCGTTTTTCGTTGCCATAAATCAAGATCGAAATTAAGAATTTCAGCGACTAGAAGGGAAGGCGAGCGGTTCCGTGGAGCGAACGCTAAGGGCATTCAACAAATTTCACGGTGTCTGTCGATAAATCAGTTTAAGCATTCAGTCGATGAGAAAGGGGGTGGTTTTGCGGTGTAACAGGTGGTTGAAATTCTCATTCGCCGCGCCTTTTTACTCCTTTATCGGGCAAAAAAGGAAAGAATAAGTTCCAGTTTATGAATCGGAGCGCGTTTAACGCTTCTTAAAAGGATAAAGCGGCCCCGACGGCTTTTTCAACAAGGGAAATTGCTGAGCCTTTTACGAGACTACGGGACATATCGATAGAGAAACCCAGAAGCGAGAGAGAGAGGAAGAGAGCTCCGGACGTTTCTTCTCTTTCTCCCCGCTTACGTTCCTAATGAAATTTATAGAGATTCGCGTTTCCTTGCGGCGATTCCTATCGGTTTTTTTCCCCGAGGACAGAAGGTGGTGAATTATCGAGACGAAGTCGCGCCAAGGTCGCAGAAGTTTCGTTCGATTCCATTTTTATTTTCGACACATTGAACGTTATCACAAAACTGGCAATAATTAACTTAAACACGTAACGACGACCGCGTGGCCGGTCGTCGGATAGAAACAGCACGCATTTTCAAATCCTTAATCAAAGAGGTACAAATTAAATAAGATCGACTATTATTTACAAGAATATTCACAAACGGGGAAACTTACTATTGTAGGTTAAAGCTTGGGAAGTCTTCGCATGCGAGGATACAGAGTTGTGAGTTCCTTATTCCCGTGTCTGTCGACTTTACTAGACAATCGTCTTAAATACTACATAATTAAATTACTACAATTACTCACGAGATAGAGAGAGAGAGAGACTTACGTTAATAATAAATATAACAATCGTGAACCTTAACCGTAATACATGCACATCATATTCGAAGTAAAAAAAAGACGAAAAAAAAAACAAGTTACAACGATCGTGTTTTAAAGATAGTGAACAATTTTCTTCTTTCTCCCTTAAGGCACAATTTTCGATGCAGACGCTTCTTCTTAAATTCCTCACGCTTATTTTGTACTAATCAATCTTAATCAATCTTCGGTATATCCTCTTGAAATTGAAGGAAGAAAAGGTTACAGGAGGAGAAATCACCAAGGTCTCCACATGTCGCCGTTCGCGGCAGAAGGACCGGCAGACATCGCGGCAAATTTCACAGGATCAGGATTGGAGTTTCTATTTGTCGAGCAAGTCGCTCTCTCCGACAAATCCTCCACGGGAACTAGCTGATCTTCTCCGGACTTTAGGACGTTGTTAGAAGAATTCATGGTAGAGCTGATAGGCTCTTGATACCTTGCTCTCTTATCAGAGATCACCAGAAGACCGTCCGAATGGTGCCTCTTGATCGCGTCTTTCCTTGGCACTACTGAGGTACACGTACGATTGTACGTTTTGTCTGTGATCACCGAAAGCGGTTGTCTCAAAGTGTGCAACGATTCGGACGAATCGACGATCTCTTTCCTGGATACGTAGTTCACGTCTGATTTCGGCTCCGTGAAGATCGACACGGGTGATTTTCTATCGCTGGACGAGCTGATCTGTGGCTTCTGAGTTTCCGGCGACGAGGAGAAGCTCTTGGACGAGGCTGGACACTGATCGGGAATTTTAAACCGACGTTGCTGAGGATTGGGCGAATGAGCTTGAGGATAGTGCTCGGACTGATGACTTTCTTCGCCGTAACTAGACGTTGATGTCGATGGACTTAAGAGAGGACTTTGTGGCCTGTGAACTGACGTGAACGCCGAGGATTGTCCGATTTTAGAGGCTGATTCGGGGGCCGGTGGAAAGAAAGGAAAGTTGGCTGAAATGGCAGCCGACTGTGGTACCAAAAGAGCAAGTTCCCCCGTTGGCAGTCTACTTGGTATCAACTGAACACCGTTCGGTATCTGTATTCTGGCACTTCCATTATTATTCTCGTCGCCATTCTGGAAATCGCTCTGGAAACCGACCTTCACCTCCGGATAGAGGCGTTCTGGCATGTAGGGCACGTAGTGGCTGTAGAATGGCGCCATTTGCTGCAGATTGCTAACGCAATTGTTCAAATGTGATACCAGTCGTTGCTTCACAACAGGGTCGACGTTCTCGAGGTGGCTGACGTACCGCGATACTTCGGTAGCACATTCAGAAAATCCGGAACGGAATTTCGTTAGCACCGCCGGATCGGTAGCGACCGCCGTGCTCAATTGCTGACGCTGTACCGCCTGTAAATGCTTCACCGTCATCTCGAGTATATCGGCCTTCTCAAGCTTCGAATGCCTAGTTGGCTGTAACGAGAAAAAAAAAAACACACCGATAATTCGTCATTTCAATTATAAATATTCTTTCGTTGGTTAATTTCAATTTTTCACGAGTATTTAAAGTACGATAAAATTTTTTCGTATAATACGCTAGGGTAAAAAACGTTCCTAGTGCACGATCGGTAATGCAGAGAGCCGGTACGTTTCTCTGTTGGTAAGAGAATGTCTGTTTTATCGACGAACAGCAACCACGAAGAACGAACGAACCAGTGTCGGATTGGAAAGGTCATTTCCAGCATGTTCGAAGTATAGTAATCACCGCTATAGCCCGAGGATAGAGTCCATCGGCGAGCATGAATACCGATCGCTCATCCAAGGAATCTACGATGCCTCGGTAACGCCCACGTAATTGACTTGATACGACCTGTTACCTTAATAACAGGCTACCAGCTACGGTAGCTAGTGCAGAGCAATTTTGTAGTTAGCCTACGGTCACGCGTGTTACATTCTAGGAGAATTTTTTTGTCGTTCCCTGTCTCCTAGCCG